TGTGCAGGCCGATTCGCGCACGGGAGAGAGTGTGCGTATGTGGGTTTTGTGTGTAGGAATGGAGGGGTAAGTAGACGAGACAGTCCCAAGACTCGCAGCGCAGGTAGGAAGAAACGGGTGGGGTTTGCAGCGTGCAAGCAGAGATTAAGAAGGAAGCAAAAACGCAGAGAAACATCGAAGGGGGGAGACGAGGATTTTGCTTCCCTCATCTTTCCCTTTTCCCTCGTCTCTTCAGCCCTTCTCTTCCCGTCCCTTTATTTTCTCTGCCATTCCTTTCTGGAGCTACGCTGCGCGGACGGAGACACACAGACCAGAAAGTGCCAGCGCATCGCGCATCAATGCATCGGTTTCTGAAGCTTTGGGGCGCACTGATTGGTCGCCGAACCGACTCTTCCGCATCGTTGCGGGCATGGATGCTATGCCGGCGTGCGTTGTCTGTTTCTTGGGGTCTCGTCACGCTGTCAGGTTGTTTCTCGGGCTGGGCGTGTTGTCGTTGTATGCGACCTATCGAGGAAGAGAACGCATCGCAGAAGCTATGTTGTGCGCGAGTGGTCTTTATCGTTGTTCCTCGTCCTTCTCGGGGTTTTCAGAAACGAAATGATCCAAAGCCCTCGAAGAGCCACCACGTCCATGCTTTGGCCAGTGACGGGAGGGAACAGCAGTGAATGCAGCCATGCCACAGCTGCAGCTGCCAGGTATTTCCCTGATGGTCGTTGACGCGCTACAGTGGACAGCTCCCACTTAGCCCCCCCCACCTAACACATTGACCGAGGGGTCGGGGGGAGGCATAACCAAAAACAGAAGAACAGGAGGGAATGTGGAACTAGTCAGCAGTCCACAGATCTTTGCGCATACATCTTCTCACATGTCACTGCTTGCTTTGCCCACTCCCCTCTTCACCTCCATCATAGTGAAGACGTTGCTTAAACGCCCTGCTGCTGTCTCTACTGCTGCTACTCGGTCTCTTCAGTCTTTACCTCCCTTCTCGGAGCTTTCCCCTTCTATGTCTCTGCTCTTCTCCCTTGTAGGATTCGATGTGCGTATTCAACTTGAATAGATGTAGTCATCGCAAGCGGGAGGCTAGAGACGAATGGTACGGGCAAAGTTTGGATTTGTCCGATGCCTAGACTAGCTACCATGAAAGTCCATATTGAATTCAAACAAGTTCTCGTTGCGCGTAGAAATTTGCTATTTTCACTTGAGCCAGGCGTAGCACCAACGGCCCGACCAACACCACTATTATACATCATCGTCTATGCCAAACTCCTTGCTGGTAATTGGATAAATATGCGTGCCTCAACCGTGACCAAAAAGGGGGGGGGGAAGGCCCCCTCCGACTAGGAGAAACGTTCAGCTCGTCTGACGGAGTACTGTCAGTCGAAGCCGGAAGTTGAAAAGCGTACAGCATAGAGCGCCGAAAGCTCATGGATAGTCGACAAATCCGGCGGATGGACCGTCCCGGTTCAGCATGTACCCAAATCTACTAGGCTCGTCCAGCAACATGCTCGGCACATCCGTGTTGTTCTCGAGACGCTCAAACTGGTCGACAGCTCGCCCCCATAGGTCCTTCCCATTTCTGATAGCGTCTGCGATGCGATCCTTGTCTCGGAACCGCTCCCCGTTCATCCACTCGTGTGAGAAGGAGGCCATCTTCGTGAGAAACTCGTCAATCGTCGCGAAGCAGCTGGAACAGTGCCAACAGGCATTGCCGAGGTCTGCCTTCTCCGGGTCGTATAGCGGCTTGAAGCCCCCGTCGCCCATGCGAAGATTTGCTGGAAGAAGCGTCCGCGGGCCTTGAAAGTAAGTCGCCTGAGGATGTTCCCACTCGGGGCCTTTGTGGAGGAACTGGAAGCTGTAGTAGTAGAAGCGACTCCGCAGCGTGAGCCTGCGGGGGAACTGGCATGTTCTAAGGACTAACAGCGTCTCAGGGCGAGCGATTTCGTCGACATCAGCTACGAGAATCACGTCTCCATACACAGGCGCCTGTCTGCCGACAAGCTTGGGAAACACTTGATCGTACATGGCGTTGCGTTGCAAATCTTCGTAGTCCCATGACCGAGCCGGGTTGAATGTCGACGGGAATTCCAACTCGTGATAGATAAGTTTGTCATGATAAGGTTTGAAACGATCCCAGTTCTCCTTGATCGTGAGACGCTTCGGCTTGCCTGTGAACGTCTTCGGAGATTCGACAATGATGAAGTAGTCCACATGGTGGTAGGTTGTGTTCAGGCGAATTTCCATCCAGTCGAGCTCTGTATTCACCATGAATAAATCATAGACTTTCCGTGGCCTGTCGTCTGACGATGGTGTAAAGACCGAATAGCCGTGGTGCTTGCAGAATTTCCGAGCAGCGTCCGATTTGTAGAAAGACTGCTGGTCGCTCGCGTTTCCGCCAAAGTCGAGTCCATTCTTGGGAAGATTCAGGGATAGATCGGTTCCCGTTATTCGGTGGTCGAAACGGTCGAGAGCTGGGTGTTGGCTGGCGTACAGCAGAAGGCAGACGATCAAGAAGATGATGGTCTTCAGAGGGACGGAGGAACCGATCCTCCATTGCAACACCATAGCTTCGATCTTGTTGAAGGAAGGTACAGACGTCCGCGGGAAGTGTTGCTGGGAGATGACGCCGAAGGAGGGCACAAAAAAAAAAAAAAAAAAAGGTAGAGGAATGACGGGCGTTCAAGCTGCCATTATGGGTTGGCTCAGGTACAGAGACTCGAGCGAGAGGTACCTGTGCAACGCTCATTCCAGAAAGAAGGGGTGGCTTGGGGACGTTCCTTTGTTAATAGAAAGGCAGTCACGAGAGAAGAATGGAAGCTGTGGGAGCTTGGTGTACTTACCTATGAGGCAAGCAAGACAGTGCAATCCATGTGTGACACTTGACGGGCAAGGCAGGCTCGGACAGGCTGGACAGGCTGGACAGGCTGGACAGGCCCGAGCACCAACGTTGCACGTAACTCTGAATGGTAAGGAGCGCTTCATACAACATTGGCCGGTGGCAGCAGCATGAGCAGGCGCGGCAGGCGACTGTGGCACTTTGGCCGGATTCCTCCTTCGCAGTCTTAAACGTCAGCCCGCTTGCGTAGAACCTTACAATCTGGCCGTTCGCCATGATGAACAGCACTAAAAGAGGGTGTGACGGCGCCTCAAAGATACCAAGGGAGCCCCTGGATTAAGCCAGATCGGCCCAAACTCACTTCACCTGTTTGGGCTGGCCAGAGTGTGGCGGGCCAGAAGGTGTTGCAAGTCCGCATGCGCGATACCTAGACACGAGGGTCCACGGACTGCCTTGCGTCTTGCGCCTTGCGGCAGGGCATACTGTTATCCATTGGGTGTTTCGGGGGAAGGCAGCATGCTCATCGACTGGTATGCCGTTTGCACGTCGGAGTTCCAAAGGGTGGAGAGCTGAGCGTGTGTGATGACACTGGATGCAGAGCGTTTTGGAACGGGAGGGACACCGGCGGCTCGCACCATCAACTGGAGCAAATTGGAGGCTTGTCTGAAAATTAAAGAGTGGCATCCCATCAGCAGAACACATGGGGACATGCTGTTGTAGTAGCTCAACTCAAACGGGAGCTGCAGCAACAAAAAGAGCCCCTCGCCCCTTGCGGTTGGTTTGCTTGCTAATTCGGTGCCGCCAAGCCGATTGGAACGCGACCACTGCAGGGTCTTAAGACGAAGAAGCTTTTCCCAGGCTGTTTGAAAGTGGGGCTCTGCTCATTTCATGTTAATGGTTAGGTACCTTAGTGTACCTTAGGTAAGGCAGCCGTAACCATAAGCGCCTCTTAATGACTGTGCATCTATTTCGTATGACCCCCGGCTGTTGGGTGAGTAAGAACGGCGGAATTCCACGAAATGACTGGATCCAGCAGTGACATTTTGCGGTGCAAATTCCGATAGACACGAGGAAGCTAAACATCACCCAGGGTGCACGCACTACTTGTCACTTACCTAGATAACTGACGCAATCCATCCAGCCCATGCTGACAAAGGCCGCTGTCCCTGTTTTCTCTCAGAGGCCGCTGGTGTTGCCGCTGTCGAGTTTCGCAACATGCTCTGCCAAGCAAGTTAATTAAGGCCAAGGCCTGTGTCTGCCTCAGCCGCAGAGCTTGTTCTCGATCATTCAAGCATTGACTGAAACGTCTTCATTCCAGACCACGCCCCGTGTGTTTCTTCCGCTGCCTGCCAAACAACAAAGCTCGCCCCCCCCCCCCCCCCCCCCCCCCCGCCAGCAGTGCATCCTTGGTGTTTCCCCAAGTATCCACCTCAAACTCATGCGGCCAATCATGTACCTGACCCTGCAATGGCGCTTCTTCTCCTGATAAGATAAGACAGGCGAGCTTCGTGGTCGTCGGAAAGCCCCCGCCGGCCTTAATTGTCAAGTCTTCAGTCAGTACCTTACCTTGGTAGAAGGCTTCAGCACATTGACCAGTGAAAACAACCGGATGCTGGTCCATACCTTACGACCTGAGGGATCTCGGTACAGCACGTGTACACTTGAGAACATTCCATTCAGGCGTCTTCAGTACCTAACTTTCGCGGACAACTGCGGAGCTGCTTGACCCGAAAGCGAGCCTCCTTATCTTCCCCGCCCATCATTGGACCCGATATCCGCAGTACTGGACGCCGACGCCGGAGGGAACAAACTTACCATTCCTTGTCGTTGAAACATTCATCATTTCTCATCAACGGGCAATGTCCCGCGTATGCCTCTCACCAACCACGTCAGCCGTTAAAATGTCTTGTGAGTTCCTACAGCTGGTCAACCGGGGCATGCCCCGGCAGCGCGACAGCGAACGCCATGTAGCCTCCACCTGGGAGCCCCCGTCTCTCGGAGCCGGTTCGGACCACTGACCGGAGTGCCCACAGACCTCCCCGGCATGGGCGCGCCCTTGCTGCGACGTTGCAACCGATTGACCCCGCAACGGGTCTCGACGGCCTACTTCAACCGCTCAACCACCCGTGCCTTCTCGTGTACGACCATCCGACCCTCATCATCAACAATGGCTCCAGCTGCCGTCACCAGTATTGCCAATGGCTCTTCCAATGGCCCCATGCAAGCCAACGCTTGGGTTGGCCACCATGGCGCTGCTGGTGTTGACCTAAGAAGTGCGTATGCAGTTCTACTGACCTCTGACCCTTTGCTGAGTGACTGACTGGCGTAAGGTGATACCATGACAACCCCGACGCCGGCGATGCTTGCTGCCATTCAGAACTGCAGTCTTCTCGACGATGTGTTTGTGGAAGATCCGACCACAATGGAGTTGGAGTCTCATGTCGCTGCTCTTGCGGGAAAAGAGGCTGCTCTCCTCGTTCTCTCCGGGACTATGGGGAACCAGATCGCCCTGAGGACTCTCCTTACCCAACCCCCCTATAGTGTTCTATGCGATCACCGCGCCCATATCATCAAGTACGAGGCAGGCGGGTATGTGCACTAGCCCCGCTCCCGGTGATCCTTGCGTGTTTGCTTATATATCACTCTCAGTGTAGCGTCTCTATGCGGCGCCATGGTGAAGCCTGTCGTGCCGAGCAACGGGGCTTTCCTGACGCTTGAGGATGTTGTGGCCAATGCAGACTTGGACGACGACGTCCACACATGTCCTACCAAGGTGATCAGCTTGGAGAATACCATTAACGGCGTGATTACCCCCCTTGCCGAGGTCAGAAGAATCGCTCAGTTCGCCCGCCAAAACGATCTCAAGTTCCATTGCGATGGTGCAAGGTTGTGGGAGGCTGTCGCATCAGGTGCCGGCAGCCTCTCGGAATACTGCTCTCTATTCGACACAGTCAGCTTGTGTTTCTCCAAAGGCCTCGGTGCTCCGATTGGCAGTATAGTTGTGGGCAGTTCGCGAGATATCAAACATGCTCGTTGGATTCGCAAGTCCATTGGGGGTGGTCTACGTCAGTCTGGTGTCGTTGCAGCTCCTGCACGCGTCGCTGTCGATGAGACCTTTGGAAAGGGACCAAATGGCGAGGGAGGTCTCTTGAAGTCTTCTCACGAAACTGCCAAGAAGATTGAGAAGCTTTGGACTGAGCTGGGCGGGAAGCTCATCCATCCAGTCAATACCAATATGTGCTGGCTCGATCTTGGTTCAGCTGGCTGCAGTACAGAGGCCTTCGTCGCATTTGGTAAAGACGCCGGCTTGAAATTGATTGGAAACCGGCTCGTCATTCACTACCAGATTGCCCAAAACGAAAAAGAGGTCCTTCCGAGACTGGAGCAAGTTTTCCGCCGCGCACTGGAAGGTGGCAGCAATGAAGCTACTACGAACAAGGGTCCTTCAAACATGTATCGCGGTCGGTGAAAGCCCTGAACTTGAACTTGCGTCGAGCCGATGAAATAAAAGCCCGAAAGTTCTTCCCGAGTCTAATGCTCAGTGAGCAACTGCAGCTCTACACTGGCCAGGAGGACGCTGTCAATGCTGTTTTTCCGAAGGCGAATGTAAGACGTGACGGGGATCCCCTGATTGACATGTCACATTTGGCGGCTGACATGGTTAGCTTATTAGCACCGCAATGGCCAATCGAAAGAAATTTGTTCCCAGGCTTTTGGAGATGCAAATCATCAGATGTGACAGATATGAGCTTACATCACACCACACGTACACCTCGCTGTCGTTTTCACCAGGGATTATACCGTAAGGTAGATTCTCCATCGGTAAGGCCTAGAATGTCGGACCGGCACAGTCGTCGGGCGTGCTGAGAAGCCTTACATATGCTGCTGGCGGTGTGAGATTCGGTAAGCATGTCTAGGACGTTGGTTAGTCTGGGCGCATCCGCCGGAGATCTTGTCTCGGGGTCTGGCCGGCAACTTCCCCGTGCCCGCGATTCTACGAGACACAATCCGGTCTGCTCGGCATCCGGGAGTCGTGCCATTGCTACTCATTTTGTGCACCGTCTGCTGTCACATCCAGGAAGGGGGCGAATGCATGCAATATTGGACGAGAGCATTCGTGCGGGGGTGGGTCGCTCCGGAAGAATGTGGAGAAAGGCTTTCCGGGGGCGCCGAGCTTCTCCGCATAGCCGGTTCGGCGCTCCAATAGCAGCCGTTCATAGACCGGGCTAGATCCTGCTTGTAATGGAGCGGTGCAGGTCGGATACCCCGCCGAACAGCTGAAGCACAACTTTTCCAAGACCAACTACTGCTGCTGTGCTTCGCACTAAGGTTTCTTGGTCCTGGCTGACGTCACAACGAAATGTTGCAGTGCAATGACATACGAAAAGTATCACCCACTCCCGTCTTGTCCGGGAAAGGCTGTGCCAATCGGTCTAATGACGTTCTCATACCGGCTCTTCTGCGGCACCTTCCATGCCCAGAACGTACGAAGAGGACGGTGTCTGCAGGCAAGCCCAAAAGATTGATGCAATGCTCAATGGTCTTAGTTGTGGCGTCCAACGTGTCGAACCATGCTGTTGTCGAGCCAATTTATGACTGGAATCATCTCGTCTCGTCACATTGCTAGGCATCCTGGAAAACCTTGCCTCTGCCCCGAATCCCCGCCAACTCCCCCCGCTTCTCCGGGTCTGCCTTCTTGCACTTCGGAGCAATTTGGGCACTGGTATTGACGATCAAAAGCAGCAACGAACCCGTCCAAGCGCCTGTGGCCCCGCCCACGCCTTCATGTTCCGCGTCCCTTTCCCTTTTCATTCACAGGCAGGCAGGCACTTTGTGCCGATCGCGGTTCGCCCTGTGTATTCTATCTCGGACATACTTTATATACCCTTCCGTGGACCTCTTCATCCGAAGTCTGCTTAGTCCCGCTCACCCACCTCGCTGCGCTTCTCTGGCATCGTCACATTTGTTGTGTAAGGTCCGGAAGCTTCGCAAGACTCGATGACGCTCCTTGCTCTATGCCTGGCAGTGCTTGCTGCTTTCGCACAAGTCTGCCAAGGTCTCTATCACAATGGATCTGACGTCGCTCCGTGCGATTCGCCAATCTATTGTCATGGGGAAATTCTGAAGCAAATCCAACTGGCGCGGCCATTCTCAGACTCCAAGACTTTTGTTGACATGTAAGTGCCGAGCGCTTCTCTGCACCCCGAGGCACCTTGCCCAGTAATGGCTGGTCTTGCCTACCTTGCTCATCGGCTCTACGCTATCTCGAGCCGCCTGTGATCTCTGACACCTCCCTCAGGCCCGCCGTCAAGACCATGGAAGAGATCCAAGCAGCATTCGACAATCTCACAAAACCTCTGAGCAACAATACGGAGCTCTTGAACTTCATCAAAAAAAACTTCGCTGGCGCCGGTGATGAGCTCAAGGCGGTTTCAAAGGATTTACTGCGGCCAGACCCCAAGTTTCTAAACAAGATCAATGATACCGTAATCAAGGAGTTCGCCAACAAGGTCATCGATATTTGGTCGGACCTGACGCGCAAGTACGAGAATCCCGCGGGCAACTGCACCAACTGTCCCACCTCCTTCATCCCACTCAACCGCACGTTCGTTGTTGCTGGTGGCCGTTTCAGAGAGGCATACTATTGGGACACTTACTGGTTTGGTCTCCTTTGATTTCTACCACGACTATTCAACTGCTGATGAATCGAACCAGGATCATGGAGGGTCTGCTCCGTACCGGCGGCAGTTTTGTCGAAATCTCCAGGAACATGATTGAGAATTTCCTGGACCTGGTCGACAGTTTTGGCTTCGTGCCAAATGGCGGGAGAATTTATTATCTGAACCGATCTCAGCCTCCGTTGCTGACACAAATGGTCCATCTCTATGTGCAGCACACCAACGACTCGAGTATTCTAGAACGAGCCATTCCCTTGTTAATCAAAGAACATGACTTCTGGATGGTCAACAGAACCATAGAGGTCAACAAGAATGGAACGACATATCGTCTCAATGAGTAAGTTTTATTAAAGTTAAGAACCGTAGACCCGGACGAGGCTGCTAACATGGCTGATCAAGTTACAACGTGAACAATACCCAGCCAAGGCCAGAGTCGTACAGAGAAGACTACATCACAGCGTCCAACACCTCGTACTATGCATCTAGCGGTATCATTTACCCCGAGATGCAACCCCTTAATGAGAGCGAGAAGGCCACCTTATATCGTAACCTGGCAAGTGGAGCCGAAAGCGGATGGGATTACACTTCCCGATGGCTCGCCCGACCCGAAGATGCAGCGAAAGACATCTACTTTCCCCTGAGATCTTTAAACGTAATCGGGACGGTGCCAGTCGGACTAAATGCCATCCTCTACTGGAACGAGGTGGCCATCGCAAGCTTCCTCAACTCCACAAACAACGCCACCGGGGCAGCTGCTTGGAAACAGCTGGCCAGTAACCGAAGCCAGGCCATGTATGACTTAATGTGGAACTCAACTTTGCACAGCTACTTCGACTACAACACCACATCAGGTGCTCAAAACATTTACACTCCCAGAGATGACGACGCTAGCGAAATCGAGACGAAGACTGCAGAGAAAGACCAGCAAGTTGTATTCTCTGTTGCGCAGTTCTATCCGTTCTGGACCGGTGCCGCCCCGGATCATTTGAGGAGCAATCCCTACGCCGTCAAGGTAGCTTATGAGCGTGTTGAAAAGTACTTGGAGCTCCAACCTGGCGGCATACCCGCAACCAACTTGAAGACCGGGCAACAATGGGATCAACGGAATGTGTGGCCACCCCTGATGCACATCCTGATGCAAGGATTGCTAAATACCCCGCCGACATTTGGGGAATCAGAACCTGCCTACCGCGATGTCCAGAGCCTGGCTCTTCGCCTGGGACAGCGATACTTGGATTCCACGTTTTGTACTTGGCGAGCGACTGGCGGTTCCACGAGCGAACTAGCCCAGGAACCGGGCCTCAGTGCGAAGTTGGTTGGCACCATGTTTGAGAAGTATGCGGATAATTCGACCAATGCTCGGGGAGGTGGAGGAGAGTATGAGGTTGTGGAGGGGTTTGGATGGACGAACGGCGTGTTGCTCTGGACACTTGACGCCTTCGGCAATAACCTGACCCGTCCAGAATGCGGCAACCTCACGGCAGACAATGCTCACACTGGCAAGAGGAGCATGCCGCCTCGCGCCGTTGAACTTGATTACTTCGATGCTGCTTGGACTAAGAAGTTTGGCCGGCGCGTAGCCATGTCGGCAGCCGAGGCGGACGCAAATAAGAGGGCTTAAATTAGGTAGCACCTTTGCCGTTGGCTTTTCCCCTCCCATGGCGGCCCACGACTGTGCCGGGATGATGGTTCACCTTTTTTGTTTCCTCTACACGAGACAATATGATAATGATAACGAGACGGTGCTGCTTCTACTCTGACCTAACGCAGCCGCCACCGTCTTGTGTTGTGCCCACCTTCACCGCGCACGAGGTGATCTCACTTTCCTCAATGAATCCAACAAACAGTTGTCGTCGTTTTACACTTTTCATCAATTACTCAACCGTACCATATTTAAGGCATGTGTGGTCCTAGGCCCCTTCAACCGCCTTGAGCAGCTGCATGTGCATGGTGTGATCGAACCCTCCAACTTGGCCACTTCAGCAAGTAGGGGCGTTCACCGTACGGCCTCATGTCTTAGAATCGAGAACAATACCAAGTCCAGCACCTGCCCATTCTTCTCGACGGCCTGTCGCTTGGCACCTTCGTATGTCCACCCCGACTTTTCGAGAACTCTGCGACTGGCCACGTTGGAACTGTAGGCTGAGGCCTCCAACCTGAGCAGAGATGGGTTGCTTTCGAAGCAAAACTTGCAAAAGGCAGGCAGAGCCTCGCTCGCGTACCCGTTTCCCCAATAGTCTTCCGCAACCCAATAACCCACGTCCCAGGTGCGATTCTGTACGTCATTGCCGCGGATGACACCGATGTTGCCAACATAGGCGCCGTCGTCCACCCTGCAGATGGCGAAACTATTTCCCGGATCTTTGGCACACATGGCGAGCCAGCCTTCGGCGTGCTCAAGGAGGTAAGGGGAGGGGAAAGTATTGCGCATGTTGGCCGCGATCTTGACGTTATTCGCCCCGCGGGCCATGGCTGCGGCGTCGGCGAAGGTGTTGGGGCGAATCAGAAGCCGTTTGGTTGATATTACCGATTCGGTCCCAGGGGCAGCATTAAGGTCCGAGATGGTCTGTGTTGCTGCCATCCTTGTTGACTGGACGGAGAAAAGCAACTCGGAGTTCTGAGACTAAAGACAAGAGGATATATGAGTCGAGGGTGAGAAGAGCCTCACATCAAGCAAACCCACAGCACATTGCGAATCGAGGTCAGCTGAACAAAATCCTCCGCATTTGGTCTGCATCTGGTGGGCTAAGGTCCAAAGGGAGTTAGCACTTCGGTAAAGATACGGCGGTTAGCTGTTGCAGGGGTTAAGTGCGTGTGCGGCCTTGATGCAGGAATCACGAGAGAAGTCCAATGGCATGTTGGCTGCGGCTACAGCGTATGGTTGAAGAGCGGAGACAAGCCGGTTGTCAACTGAGAGACAGAGAGCGAGAAGTCGTTCTGTACCTTGGCCTTGGGTGTCGTCTTGGGACCTGCCACCTGGCGGTGCGGTACCCGCCAGATGGTGACCTGACCTGAGGGCCAGGCGGCGGGTATGGTCTGTGCCCCGCGGAGTTAATGACGGCTACAGTGGAGGAGGGGACCAAGGCACCTGGGCTTGGTTTCCTTGTCCCAAGGTAAGGTGGGTGCCTCAGGTGGCTGACAGTTGCTGCCAGTGGGCGCAGCCTGCGACGCAAGCTGTGGTTGCCGAAAGCACCGGCCAACTTCAATTTTCGAGCTCCGCAAGACGACCGTGACGTTGAAGACTGACAAAGCTCCACCATCACCAGCTTTCCGTGAGCTGCAGCAATCACGCTCGCTCGTTCCACCACGCTGAACGACCTACTCGATTACGACTTTGCGCTAGATTCCGTCCGACGACCAGACCTTCCGTTCGCCATGTCTGGAGGAAGGAGCCCCATGGAGGAGGCCTACGAGCGCTTGAGGCAGGTGGCCCAGCAACAGCAAAAGCGAGGAGGTTTCGGAGGCGGCGGCATGCCGGGAGGTCCTCGCGGCCTGGGAATGGGACTGGGTGGTATTTTCCTTCTTGGAGGCGCCGCGATTCTTGCCCAGAATGCGCTGTTCAACGTCGACGGAGGACACAGAGCGATCAAGTACCGGAGGTTAAGTGGTGTGAGCAAGGAAATTTACAGCGAAGGTGAGTAGCTGGCATCCTCGTATTGCCCGAAACGATCCGGCCCTCAATCTTGCTTGCGCAGTGGGCTAACACAGATAACGTCTTCAGGAACCCACTTCATTGTCCCTTGGTTCGAGACCCCCGTCACCTATGATGTCCGCGCGAAGCCGAGAAACGTCGCCTCCCTCACCGGAACGAAGGATTTGCAGATGGTCAACATCACCTGCCGTGTTCTGTCCAGGCCAGATATCAAGGCCCTCCCTCAGATCTACCGTACCCTGGGTACTGACTACGACGAGAGGGTTCTGCCCTCCATCGTCAACGAAGTTCTGAAGAGTGTCGTCGCCCAGTTCAATGCCAGCCAGCTTATCACTCAGAGAGAGATGGTTGCAAAGTTGGTTCGCGAGAACCTTTCCCGCAGAGCTGCGCGCTTCAACATTCTCCTGGACGACGTCTCATTGACGGTATGTCTTTCCGGCCATGTCCGCACGTCCTTCCTAGAGCTAACTTTGGCCCCTCCCCTAGCACCTTGCCTTCTCGCCCGAATTCACAGCGGCCGTCGAGGCGAAGCAAGTCGCTCAGCAAGAAGCCCAGCGCGCGGCATTCGTGGTCGACAAGGCTCGCCAGGAGAAGCAGGCAATGGTTGTCAAGGCTCAGGGTGAGGCTCGCTCCGCTGAGCTGATCGGAGAGGCCATCAAGAAGAACAAGGCCTACGTTGAATTGAAGAAGATCGAGAACGCCCGTGCCATTGCCGCACAGCTGCAAGAGGCGGGCAGCAAGAACAGGCTGCTGCTCGACTCAGAGGGTCTGGGTCTGAACGTATTCGAGGGCGGCGAGAAGAAATAAAGGGGCCGCAATGCAGCTTCAAATCTCCACTGTATTCCTACGATCCCCGAGTATGGGATATGTATTATAATGAAGAAGAAGAAAACGCCGCTGAGAGCTTCGATTACACCCATAATCGCCTAAGTATTGGCCGGGGGGGTTATTGTAAGGTGAACCCAACGAAAACTGCTCAATGCAGGGTGGATATCCGTCAAGTTTGAAGAGTGAAGTCTGGCTCAATACGATGAGTGCCTGTATAGCTGAGATTTTATCTGACTCGATGGGGAAAATAGCCTTCTGTTGTGAAAGCAGTTCTCCTACAAGTAATTACGGCACAAATGTCGGGTTGCTAACGGCAAACGTGTAGCCTGCTCATGGTAGGGGCTGTTCGCCGGTCGGCCATGATGGAAGCCCCGCATCCCTGCCCCTACGTATGTGACACTACCTACGGTGCTACCTTACCAAGGTACCACATTAAACCACTTGGACCAACACCCCTCCCCCACTACCCATCTACTATTACTGCCTGCGAGCTTGACCTCCGACCGTCAATTGTCACCAATTCAACAAGCAGAACAACACCTCAAAACACAACAACACGACAGAAAGGCGACGATACAGCCTTCCCGCGAATACAATAAACTCTCAGAGTACACACCGAGCAGTCTGAACTTTTCAAAATGTTGATCAAGTGAGTGCCCGCGCTTCGACTTCGCGCGCGCATGCCTGCTCGCCCCGTTACCGCACATGAGCTGACGCTTCAACCTCCAGGGTGCGCACGCTGACCGGCAAGGAGATCGAGCTCGACATCGAGAACGAGTACAAGGTTCGCAGCGCTTCAGACGGATGACGACGACCACAAGACTGACACTCGGACGCAGGTCTCGCAGATCAAGGAAAAGGTCGAGGAGAAGGAGGGCATCCCGCCCGTCCAACAAAGACTCATCTACGGTGGAAAGCAGATGTAAGCAGTATTCCAGGTGGTTGCCATGGTCGAGAGCATTGAAAATGCTGGGCTTGATTGCATGACTGACAGTTGGTGCGATCAAATAACAGGGTCGACGATAAGTCAGCTTCGGAGTATGGCCTCGAGGCCGGCGCCACCCTCCATCTCGTGCTGGCTCTCCGAGGTGGCAAGGCTTCCGACGTGTGCTGAAGATCTTCGTCAAGACAGAGCCTCGCGCCAACTTTCGTCTTCTTACCCATCGGCGGGGAGCTGGTTAGAGCACGATGCAAACGAGTCGACGACGGAGTAACCTGAAGACTCGCGCCCTCGATACATTACAGCCGAAAACGTCTGTCTGTCTGTCTGTCTGACTGTGGTCGGCGAGACCATTATTTGCTGGACAGCAACTAGTCTCCTAGAGGAGAGCATACACTGCAAGCATCATTTTGCCGTGGATTCCAGTTGCGCATCATGTACCCCGACAGGGAATAGGTAGTAATCATCAGAAGTCTTGTCGCAGTTGCCATCATGCTAGTATAGTGCGAGTCTATCTTGTCCGAGCTAGAGTCTTCAGCTAGTGGTGGCTAAGGGACCTTTCGAACCAAGAGGGTATATAACACATCCTGCCAACGCCAAACAAATCCTGGTGCCATGTCCCTTGCCAATGGGCCAACGCCTTGCCAATACAAATATCTCTACAATGTTGTCCTCGCTTTCCCGCCCTTCAAGCTTAGCGTCTCGTCTTCTTCTTGGGCATGAATATGTCAACTGCCTTCCTCTTCTTCGGCAGCTCTTGATTACCGATGAGTGGCCGAACCGGTTGCAACTCGTCCAGGGATACCGGGAGGGGTGGAGGTGACTGGGGCCCGCTGTGCTGAGCCGCAGTCTTGTGCGCCCGATGCGGTTCCATGGTCGTAGGACCGGCTGTTTCCAGCTTTGGCTTCGGCCGCTCAATCCTGATATTGTTACTGTTCGGCTTAGGTGCATTTCCCATGATACCCCCACCGCGCTTCAGCCCTGCGGTGTGGGACATAACGGCGGATGACGAGGATCTGAGTGCACTGTAATCTCTTGAGGATGCCTTCGATGGCGTGCCCGGCTGCGCCGATAGTGCTCCCCTGTCGCGGCCGTTGTTTGCCGGGGACCCTGAGCCAGATGAGGTGGCCTTTCGCTGCTTTCTGCCAGATCCTTCATCGCCAAAAAGGTCACCCTCGTCGTCTTCATCCGAGGAGTCGGAAACATATGTGGTTTTTGAGGCCATAGGCGGTCGGGAACTGGTGGATGTAGGCCGGAAAATGGGCTGCGATGCGATGCGATGCTCGCTTGCCATGGACGCCGGTGCTTTATTGACTCGAGGTGCTCGGATCATGCCGGTGGGAACAGCAAGCCTGCTTCTTATGCCGGCGATCTCTGCTGCCTCTCTTCTGGCCTTCTTCATGACACTGGCGCCGTTCGTGGTCTTCAATCGGCTGCCAGCGGCAAAACTCAGGGAGCTTGGGAGCTCCTTGCCTCCTCGTCCTCGGGTCCCAAAGGTGCGACCGGTCTTGGGAGGCTTCGGGAGGTATCTCTGATCGACAATGCGGCTAGTATTGTTGTCTCTCTTTTGCTGGAGACCTTGAAATCTTGCGCGCAGTTCAGCCTCGGCCTGTTGCTGTGACTCTCGACGTTCCTCGGCATATCGTTCGTAAATCTTGTACCACTTGGTCGGATTCTTAGGCGCGTAGTTTTTTTCGTGGCTCTCAGACGGGAACTCTCTTCTGATGAAGCGTTGCCATAATTCGGATGTTTCTCCTTGGATGTGTGGGGAGTTTAGTTCGATTTCGCGGAGCTGAGCGGGATTGGTGACTCGGAGGAGGATGTCTCGGACGTGATGGTACTGGAGTGCATCGCTGTTTCCAACACTGCTGAGCTCGGTGACGTGTCTTTGGCATACTGCAATGCACAGCTCCGCAAGTGACTTGGGCCCTGGCATGATTGCTGCTTCTTCTTCTTCTTCTTCTTCTTCTTCGACGAGCAGCCAAAGAGAGGGCCTAGCCGGACTGTAGAGCCGTCGTGGTGAAGTGTGCAATAGATGATGAACAAACAGGCAGAAGTCTCATTGTTGACATTCGAATCGTGAATCAGATCAATACAGCGAGTTTCCAAGCCAGGCGAGATGCCTCTCGAGGCGCCCTGCAACAATGGAAGGAGGGCTGATGTAATGTTCAGCGTCAGGTATTCGCAGACCGGACTTTTATTGTTGCAGCTGGTGACCTTTCTTCCAGGTTGAAATGGATGGGCCCGGCCACATAAGAAGCTGGCAGCAGTGGCGAACCCTGGCTGATTGCAGTGTGCGCGCGGTTGATGGTGGGGTCCATGGGCTTTTTAAGTGGTCGGGTCCGCTGCGGCTGGCCTCCAGGTCACCTACCTAGGTGAGGTAAGGTACGAATACCTATCCGTAGGTAGGGGCTTTAGGTACGTAATTGCTGCTAGCGGACGATACGTAAGCCCAGGTGCCGACGCGATCGAAAGTCCTTTGACCGCAACCTCACCATCACAGGCAGCAAAACCCCAACGTACCAAAAGGAACGCAAGCAGGAAAAAAAAAAAAACAGGACTCATTGTTAAAAAGACGGCGAGGCAGTCATTCACATTCGAGCACCTTCCCATATCGTTCCCCGCGTCACATGATCCAGAGGCTAATCCTCTTTGGGACCCCAGCAGGTGGCACACGCGCCCGCGACTGTGTACGGGCAGCTGTTCAAGGTACGCACCTTGGCACACTTATTAGGTAGCAGGAGCTAGGGGTGCCTAGATTCGCTTTCAATAGCCTTTCGTCATTCGCAAATCCGCTACACCTGCCACGACTTGAACAATTCCAAGGGCTGCGGTACAACTCACCATGGCGGATTCAACATACATCAAGCAAGAACCATACATCAAGCCCGACCCGGACGCTGTTTCGGCCTCTCCTCTCGATGAGGACGATTTGTACGAAGATGCCGGCGATCTCGAGTTCTTCGACCCCAACAGCGAGCAGGGTGCCTTTGGCCAAGCATACTTAGCCCGCGTCCCAAAAGACCTCTGGGATGCCTGGGACAGTCTACCAGACGATGCTGAGATTGAGATCGGAACAATGCGACAGTGGGATGTGGTTCGGCCCGATGGCGCTGTCGAGGTATGTGAATGGCGCGTTGTGGTGCACTCTGTAGCCAAACCTGACGTGTCTGCCCTTTACAGCACCGGTTCAAGATGCTTCTCAACTCGAACCGACCTGAACATCAACTCATGCCGAAGGAGTACGATCTCGAAATGGGCAAGGAACTTACGCGCAGCACTTTCGTGTTTTCCGAGGAGGATCTGCCTGGCTTCAAGGCCAAGTCCAAAGCACGCAACGACGCCGCCAACGCAGGCATACCGGCACGATTCCTGCGCCCAAAGAACGAAAAGGTGGAAAAGAAGCCGTTCGAGAAGCGTGGCCGGTGGCAACCGTATTACCGCAAGGCGATCCCAAGTCCGTGTAATCCCCAGACAGCGACTTGCGCGTCCTAACATGGCCCAGAAAAAACAAAAATCGCCGCCAGGATCCAGTATGAATTAGCATGCAAACCGGTAGATAACGCCGAAAGCCAGGCAATCTTGCAGCGGAAGCAGTTGGAAGCGTTGAAGCCCAAACACACTCTCCAAATCATGGGGCAACGGGCGGCAAACAACGTCATTCAACACGGTTCTGCCGCTGCTGTCGAGAAGTTCGGCTCCTTCATTGTAAGTCACCGCTCTACATGGTTACGACTCCCTTTCCTTACGGCTGACACCCTCTAGAAAACGACTGCTCCTATGAAGGCCACAAAGCCGAAGAAGGCAGAAAACCGTTCGGCTCGTATGTCTGAGGAGCAGCTTTTGGACGGTCTCATGGAGGCTTTCAGAAAATACGAGTACTGGAAGATGTCTATTCTGAAGGCAAGATTTGACCAGCCCGAAGCCTTCTTGCGACAAACTTTGGAGAAGATCGCGGTTCTCAATCGGTCTGGCATACACGCCAATGAGTGGTCGCTGCAAGAGCATATGAAGAGCATGGCTTCCGGTGCAACTAACGAAACAGCTCCAGAGGAGGCAGCAGCCGATGACGATGACGATGAGATGGTCATGGAGGATGTTGTGCCTGGTGCTTGACCGCGGCTCATCACATTGCTTTCATACATTGCATGGCGTTTGGGGTTTGTCAAGATGATCATCCGGCGAGGATTTTGTCACCGGGACTTTGATACCCGTCTGGACACTAGATCTTGGTGGACGTGTCGCAGGGTTTGCATCGCTATTTTTGGACTCGGGCTAGGAGAAACCGGGGAATGGCATCGACGCATCGTATTTTCCCAAGGGACAGTCAACTCATTCAGACCTGAACAGATGCTTGAAGCCTAATTTTTGTTGCTGCGGCGCCAATCTTGCGTGACCTCTTTTGTTGCCATGGCTCCGGATAGCCAGTCCCCAAGTGGGGAAAGGTGTCTCGTCAGCCCGCGAACTGTCCTCGCCTCTACAAACCTGCACCAAGCATGCTTCACCTGAGGGTTCACCTGAGGGTTCACCTGAACCGCGTAAACATTCAACGAACATTGAACTTCTCCATACGTCGCGTTTCGACGCTGTCAGCTCGACTCATGTTTCACCGACAACTCAACTTAGTATTGGACTTTGACGGAACCATCACTACGAAGGACACGATCGGGACCATCGCTGAGGTCGGTCTTCACTTCCAGCGACAGCGCGGCTTGGATCTGTCGGCAGCATGGCGGCAGATTCTTGAGGACTACAACCAAGATCACGTCGACCATGTTTCGGCCTACAAACCTGCGGCAGACGGTCGGCTTACCCTCTCGGAAGAGCTCAGCTACCTGCGAGGTCTCAGAGAAGTCGAGCTACGCTCAGTGCACCGCGTTGAACGGTCCGGCATTTTCAAGGACATCAGCAGGGGGGAACTCATGAAAGCCGGAGATGCTGCTCGTCAGGAAGGGCGGGTAAAGCTTCGGGACGGTTTCGCGAAGCTAATGGACACTGCCAAGCAGAACAATTGGCCTGTCTCGGTGGTCTCGATCAACTGGTCGAGATCCTTCATCAAAGGCGTGCTGTCTGCGTATGAATTTGACGTGGTCGCCAACGATATTGAAATAGACGGTTCGATCTCCGGGCCGGAAGTCCTCGGTCCATCGGGGCGGGAAACTATCTTGACGACCTGTGATGACAAGCTGCGGGCTTTGCGGGCGCTGGCAGCTCGTCAGGGAGTTGACAATGCCAAGGGACTCGTTTATTTTGGCGACTCGACATCTGATCTGGAATGCCTATTGGAGACGCGCGGGGTTGTGGTGACTTCGACGCCAGACTCTGGTTTGATGACGACTCTAGCGAGGCTGGGATACGACGTTCCCCGGGTTCAGGATTGTCGTGAGGTGGACAAGATCGTTTGGACTTCGGCATTCCATGACGTATTGCAAAGTGGGTTCCTCTCAGCAAGTGGAAAGGCTGAATGATGTCTGTCTTCCGTGGTTGTCGAGCAGAGCTGTAATCTATGACAACATTGCGTCGACACAGGGTCCTATGGGTCCTTTGTCCGGATTGACGAGACAAACACCTGATTATTTTTCTCCAGGATAGGACATTGTTCAATATCATCTCCTTGTCATCGAAGACCACCTAGAAAATACTTCCTTGTTCTTGAATTTCATGCTGTTTGGGACCGCCGCTGTGCGTATAAGTACAGTGCCACATCCACCTCTCAACTCTAGGTCCCATCCGCCATACACATGCAAACGCACCTACTTACACCCCGACAAACACTAGCATATCGTACAGTTCCGAGGAGTTAGGGAAACAGCCATCATGTGCTACTATCGACTGGCTATATACGAATGTAAGCATACGATATATGGGCGAAAGATGGCTTATTGCAAAGTTCAACAAGACTTCTTGTCTGGCAAGCGTGGTCTAGAGTGCACTACGAAGAACGCCCATTCACTTCAGACTCTGCGGCTGGACTCCGACTGCGAAAAATGTCGAAAGTTGGATGAACTTCAATTGCGTACAAAACAGGCTCTCAAGGAGCTTCGGGAGGGGCGTGAGGGCTCCCGAGACACTGCTGGTTCTTCGATGCAAGACTCCTTGATCGATTCTTTGGATGATGTTACTTCCGACCTTGGTTCTTCAGGAGCCCCTACTTCTGATGATACGGCCGATATTTCACATGATGTCTAAGTACCTATAGATATGTTAACGGTATGAACCTTGCTTTGTCTGCGGACATAGAGCACGTTGCTAGCACATGCGTATCCGGTATGAACTTGGAAATCAAATAGTCAATATTCTTGTAGTACTTTCCGAAGCCGTAGCGTTATTTTATCAACTAATGTAACGAGAACAAGTAGAAGAAGAGAACTCACGAGTTCTATACCACATCGGCCCTCCCGCCTCTACTTTCTTTTGCTCAAAGTCCCAGGCTCTTTAATAGAGACGTTATATTTTCTGACCATACCCGGGAAGACATTTCTTAGATCGGCTCCTGCATTGGGAAATACCTGATTTCCTCGACCCCCCTTAGATTCTTCCAAAACCTCATCCAATCCAACGTGCTGCCGTTTTTATTGTCCGCTTCACTTTTGTCTGCGCCGCTCTCGGTCGCACTAGACCCATGAATCAGGAAGCTGATCTGGCGGCCCAGAACTCCTCTTTTCAAAGTGACCCTAGGAAGTGGTGCCTAAATCCAATCTCGAAACGCGATTGTCTCCTCAACGATGGAAGAGAAGTTGACATAGTGCACGTTGCTGCAAGCCAGCCTTAAGGTCGATATGGTCTCGATAGCCATTAGGCGTTGCGACATAACAGCAGTCTTCTTGGCTGACTCATCTGCTTCCTCCATGCTGTGCGCCCGTGGTGATGGCCAGTACATGAATTGGACAGCGGGCCCGGGGACTGTTGCGGTAAGATCTGGGCCTAGTCCGAAGGCTCCGGCGAGGCCGGGCACGAGGTGTCGGCCGTATCGGAGCCGTTGGTGCCGAACGAGTGCCGGATCCCAGTCGTCACAAGTGAGGTCAAGGCGGCGAGGAAACGATGTATCCGACGGGTAAGAAGACATACAGATGAGACAAGTCAGGCACGGGCAGGTCAGGTGTCAGGTTGCTTCAGACGGAATGCGAAGTCGCAATGTGGCTGTCTCGGTCGAGGCGACAATGGTACTTCGTACAGAGGACTGGCCATGGCATGGGTAGATGTGAGGTGGCATTGAAGGACGTTGGTAACATGACAGGAACGGAGGCAGCTGAAACCCGAAGCCAGGCCGTCGTGACTGGGGCGATTACCGCAGACACGGATGGTTGCGAAGAGGTCTACGAGGGACTCGGAAAACGGGTTTTGGAGGAGAGGTTGGAATGCGTCTGAAAAACGGCCAGCCATGAGCTGACCGCAAACGGGCATTGGGGATCGAGTGCAATTCAACGGCTCGCATTGCTGGGGTGACGATGAATTCCTGGGTCCAGTGACGGAGCAGCCGAAAGTGGGAGCTGTGGGGAGAGACAAAAGTCACTGGACTTTGCAATAACATGTCCCAAAATGCAAAATCACCGGATGGATGTCTTATAAGTAGTGTATTGGTATGCAGATAAGATGCGGCACGGATGACGGAGGAAAGACGCAAGGGCCGAGGAGACGGTGCGTTTCTTGGGCTGATGTGCTTCCAGGCCAGGTCAATGAAGCAGTTCGCGCAGCAGGAGGAGGGACTGAGGCACGAGGTTAAACTACGAGGAACGGTTCGTGTGAGCGTGGAACCGGCCCAGTCCCAGCCAAGGAGGAAGGGGTACATTGTATTAGGTGGACGCTGAACGCGGGTCGTCGTGGCCGGACTCAACCTCCTGAGATGAGTTGTTGATACGACGACGAGGCCGAGCACGTTTCCAGGCATGAATGGCAATCAACACACACAAGTTTGCATAAAGACGGCAACCTTCCATTGCAGGACGAAGCCCGTATTCAGTGGGTACACGGTGTATGCGGCGAATGTCAGCAGGTGGTTTCCATTGTGAATCAAAATCAATGCACCCAAGGTAGGTAGTCTATGGAGTCCAGTCGGGTCCCTAGAAAATTGTCACCTCACTCAGGGTCCCGTCCCTGGACCCATCAGCCGAGCCATGACCTACCTTACCTTACCTACCTTACCTATCAAATCCCGGTGCAGTCTCGCGGTGCCTTACTTTGACTTACCTTACCGCACCTTCACCTTAAGGTAGGTACCCTACGTACCTTACCTAGGTCCATAGGTAAGTACTTAAGGTACCCAAGGCCCATACCAGTAGTATGCATCCGACCCGACTCCCGGCTGCACTGCAGCGTGAACGCACCGCTGGGCCTCCCGGGGGTTCTTACCTTAGCGTTATGCTCCCCGCCTGACCCAACCATGCCTGAAAGCCAGAGAGCCCCCCCCTCCCCAGGAGGAGCCAAGACTCTGTGTGGCTTACCTACCTATTGTTTCCCTCCAGTCCAATCTCCTTCATCTTCATGACATTTGAATCGCTGGATTGCGGGGGGAAATTGGCCGTGCTTCACATCGGCTGACTGCAATGCAAAAAAAACAACCGATGTCGGATAGATTGCTCTCTATAGCACAACAGCACAACGTGTGCAAATGGAAAGGGGCGCTGCTTACGGCCCCGGCCTGGCGATGAGGAGGAGGAGAGCAAACACTGAAGCAAAAGAACAAAGGAGGGAGGACGAGATCCTTCGCCTTCGCCTTGGGCTTGGGCCATTGGGTTCCTCGCCGCTTGCCGCGGGCCAAAGCGGTAACGCCGACCGGTTGTATTGCGTGTGCATGTACTGTGGCCATGGAGTATTCCTCATCATCTGCCTTTCTGCTCTGATGTAGGTTGTTTACTGTCTAAGTCTCGGGAACGCAAGGCAAGGTACTCGCAGCCTCTCGAGTCCTCTCGAGTTGCGACCCCCGGCCAAGACAAAGGGACCTACCTTTTGCCCAATCCAATAACCTGCCTCATGCGTGCATCACTCTGGTAAAAGGCAACGGAGGGCGACGTGAGGGCAAGCCAAGGTACTGGTACTCCGTACACCGACCGACCGACCGACCGACTCGAACCCTTCCCCTCCCTCTTTCCCCCCTTTCTTCACCGTCTCTGATATGCGCCGCAAGTGCCTTATTACCAAAGCTCCAGGTCCTGTCCCTTCCCCATTTGGGACCTCCCAGTGCCGCCGTAGGCTATGTGTACCTCAGCCATACATGCTTACCTACCTTAGTACGCAGGCTGCATCCTCCTCCCAGCGTCCGCCTTCTCCTCCTCCTCCTACACCCACACCCCCAAACCCCCGTACTCTATCCGCCTGCAGTCTCCCCTTCTTGTTATGTATTCCTCTGGACCCTCCCGTCAGCTGGTCGGGTCTCTTTCATTTACATCACGGAATGTGTGACTTGGTTGATACCGCCCTTTGCCTTCCCGTCCGCTTCATATTGCCGCCCGATTCCGCTTCCGTCCACTTACTTGCCTTGCTCCCTTCTCTCCCCTCAGCCGACCTCCTCGCCAAACGACCCCTTCGCCAACCCTTCTCCCTCGACGACTACGAAGACCTGCTTCCCTCGAGATTCCGTCACAGCACCGACTCCAGATCCTGTGCCCTCGCTCGCCGCTTCACTCGAACCGACGTGGCCGCCTAGTTTGACAACTGCTGTCTTCTTTCAATACCAGTCTTGTCGCCCGTCTTGCCTGTCTCCCCCGACTGTCAGACGCCGTCCTTCTCTCCTCCCTCGCCGCCGTTCGAGGGAACGAATCGTCTCACCCGCACGCATCTGGCACGCATCAGATACGATCTCACCTCTCCGAGCGTTTCGAAGGGTATCTGCTGCTAATGTCGCCATTCCCCGCCTGACATCTCGGGCCCTCCGACGTTCGTCATGGAACCCGTTCCTGAGACCGAGAGAATGGAGGAGTTTCGACCCTCGCCTCTTCCCTCTCTCCGGATCCAGAATCCCGCTCTGCTGCCTGCCGTTGCTGCCGAGACCGAACCTCTGAGGAAACCGCCCACTTTGCGACGCCAGACCGATCCGAGTCCCACCTCCCCGACCGCTGCGGCATGGTCTCTGCCTCCTTTGCCTTACCGTCCCCGTACCACCTCGCCCCTCTCCGGACACCACAGATCGAGGTCAGCTGCGGCGAATTTGGCTCCTCCAATGTCTCGTACACAGTCCATGCCAGGCGTCAACGGTGCTGGCCACATCCTCTTCTCCCCTCAACTTCGTCCTGCGAGTCCCTCGGGTTCGCCCAGCCGCATTCGAATCCCACGGAAACCTGTTGACGAGTCCTTTCCCACATCGCCAATTCGCAGCTCTGTCTTAGAACCAGACCGCAGAAATGCTGACTCAAATTCCTCCCCAATCGCTGGTAACACGGCATCTTCTGCAGTGCTGCCTCGTCACCGTCGGCCGTCTTCGCCCTTGAGGACCCCGGGACATGCCAGCACCGGCTCGTTGCCCGCGCTGCCTACCACCCCCACGTCCATTGCGTCTTCACCTTCGTTCAGAGGCTACGAGGCCTTTTCGCACGGCTACGGCATCCCGTCATTCCCTTCTTCGTCGGTGCCGTCGACTCCTACATCGACAAGGTCGAGGAGCCCCAGCATGTCTAGCCTCGAAACGATACCCGACTCTCCTGATGCGGAGGAAGCGGCTATGGAGGCCGAAAGAATCGCTCAACTCAAAGCGGCCGCTGATGCCGCGGAGAGGGGCAGTGTAACAGAAGGCAAGGGAAGGGGTGGTCTTGACGTGCCATCTCGAGGCAGAACACTCGGCTTCGGGTCAAGAGACAAGAGAAAGCGGTGGAGTGTCTGTGGTGCCGAACGACGGCAGGACCTTGACTTGGAAACAATCTGGGAGGATTAAGAGGCAGCTCGGCTCAAGGCTCTGTTTCGGCTGTGAACGATGAATCGCCTCCGGTAAGGACCGGTGGGATAAGACTGCAAAACTCCGGGCAACGCGAAATCCGACACAGTCGTAAAAGCATTTGAGACTTTTCTTTGCGTTGCTTTTTTTGCATGGCATTTGGCATTCGGTATTAGGTTTAGGGGCACGATGGCGTTCAGTGAAATGCTTCTGATACCCTACACTGCATTTCACCTCTCAAGGGCATTACGGAGACATTGTCATCATATATGGGTCCTGTACTTAAACATGGCTGGGTTCTCTTTCCCTTCCCTTTGGGTCTTCAACCTCCACAAGGAGTGCTGCCGTAGGCAGAGTGCTTGTCAATGGAATATTTCCCATTCACTCCGATCCCGCTCCAGTTGATTCTCTTCCAAGCCTTCATCATGTTCTAGCATACTGATTGCAACGGTGTCTCAGTTGCCATTCTGTGCCGCTGCAAGGGGTGCTTTACACGGTAGTCCCCCTTGCTGAAGACTATTCTTTTTCCTTGGGTCATTTTCAATAGCGGACGTCTATAGTTTTCCCTCTATTCTTCATGCCTCCACAGTTCGGCCGCGAAGGGATTCTTATCAAGTTTCTTGGGGAACCATTTGACTCCTTCCAAGTCTGAGCGACGAGGCCGCAATGTATAAGACGGGTTGGCTTGGGCCACGGCTGTCGTTCTTGATCTTGTCGACATCAACATACTAAAAGGAGCCGTCAATCTTCGTTGACCAACCCAATATTTGATCCGCATCATCGGCTCTCTGCTGCCTCTCGTCGGCAAATATACCTCAACATGTATCGTTTCTTTTTGCTTGGCGCTCTCTTCGCCGAGACAGCTAAGGCGGTCCCGAAGGCCCCGGAGGACGAAGTAAGACCCAATGACTTCAGATCCTTCTTATTCCTTCGGAGAAGACTTCGCTAATCATACCCGCCAGATGGCCGCCCATATCGTACAACAACGAGGGTTTCGTCCAAGTCCGGACTCGGCCGCCTGGACCACCGGACGGAGCTGGTCGTTGAACGGTACCAATTCAACGACACCGACTGGAGTAGCCGGGACGGCCAGCAGTACCTTTTCATTTCCGCTCAATGCGACGAGTACCTCTATGAGTTCAGCGTGCCCCTTGAGCATCATCACATCGACAACGACGGTAGACGTGACTTTCTACATAACTGCCACCACTTCGTTCGGCAGTAATCTGACATCGTCTTCCGGTACCGGCACGGCGCATCCGTCATGGACTTCGTCCTCGACGAACTCTAGTTCTACGACGTCCTGTGCGACAGGGAACATGTCTCCCACGTCTCTGAATCTCTCCACAGGTCTCACCAAGCCCGTCAATTCCTCTGCAACCACCGCCTTCACAGCCTCCGAGTCGCCTTGCTCTGATGAGCCGGCTACAACTTCCACTTCCATGTGGCACAACATCACCACCTCGGTCATGCCATCACAGACCACCGAGCCATGCAACGATGACTTGGCTTCCACTACTCAGCTCAAATCAACAGCAGCAGGTTCCAGCACGCTCCTGAATTCGACCGCGATGTGGTCCGCCAAGACGTCGTCAGGCGTTACGCAGAGCACGACACCTTGCGATGATGAGCATGAGACTGGTTCCAGCAGCACATCAGCATTCTCCACCAGCGCCGTGAGCAATATATCCGTCTCCGACGTGAGCAAGACCGCTGTTTCATCTGCATTCTCTTCAGGGGTCACATTCACAAGCAGAGGCTCCAACAGCACGACCAGCCAAACCATTTCCATGACATCGAGCTCTCTTGGGAACGGAGTTGCTACCCACTCGTCGATGGAAACGACGACGACCCCAACTGAGCCATGCGAGGACGGGTCTAGCACGGTGACTGCTGCCACATCCTGGGACGCCTCAGCCACGTCGAGCCATGACACTTCGAGCACTCTGCAGGTCATCCCAACATCCTCAACGGACTCAAGCCGGAGTCCCATGACCAAGTCGGCAGACACTTCGCCGGCCTCCTGGGCGACACAGATAACGCTGACCGCCGTGACCCCTATTCCCACGGAGAGCTGCGTCATCGACACATCCATGGTGCCTGTCACCAGCGCGCCGCTTACCTTCGTTCCGTCCTCGACGCTCATCCCGACAAAGACGGTTTGTCAGGACAATGCACCGACAGGCAAACCGATGCCCGGAAACAACCACTGCGGCGTTCATGGCCTGCCCGTGGGCAACTACTTCCTCGCGCGTTTTGTCGAGAACTCGCCAGGCGTGCGTGTGACTTTGGAGGGTTGTTACCAATTTTGTGCCGTGAGTCTCACCTCCCTCTTCGTATTTCCAACGCCGCCGCATCGGCCAGTCCCATTGACGTTGATGACAGAGCGTGATGAACGCCACTGATGGGTGCAAATCCTACCGCTTTTATCCCGAGAGAGGTCTCAACGTCCCACGATGCGACCTGTACGGTAGCAACGTCGCTTACGCCTTGGACTCTATTGACAATGATCACCCCGACATCTGGTTCGATCTCACATGCGGCTCACCTTCGGACCAGAGGTGGGCACACTTGCCCGGTATGAGCCATCTCCGAGATCTTGGGTTGCTGGAATAGATTCCATCTGTCACCGGCGTCAAAGAGACGGACCTGTGGATTTACGGGGTGGATTACAAGGCTAGTTAAAGTATGTCTGACCACAGCGGATGCGCTGGAAGGGTGTACGTCAGACATGATTCGGGGAGGATGGGGGTTGGCGTGCTATTGGGCGCACCGTACTAGAGGATGTAATCTTTGATATCGTAATTGTCTAATTGTAGGTCATTAGTCATGCCTATGTGGCCTTCTAATCGAAAGGTATCCTGCGAAGGGTTTCTTGAGTGCCCCTCTTCTTCATTTCCTGAGCAGCAGCTACGCTGCTGGGGACTTTGATGCCGCAGCAGTCGCCCCATCCCACGTGTTGATGCTTGTGATTCCCAGTATGGCCAGTTGAGATCTCACCTCCATCCGCTTCATCTTCTTCGTGTCCAAGCCCGAACTCTTCCTCTGTGCTCATCCCATCCACCGCCGAAATCAGAGAACCGAACAAGAAGTGCTGCATCACGGGCAGCTTTCTCAAAACCTCTGCAACGAACATTCGCCGCATCCCGCCCTCAACTTTGGTCCACGACTTGGAGGCAGATATGTCATCCAACATGGGGCTATGCCACCTCAGGCCTTTTACTGTCTTGGTACCGTTGACAAAGTTCACCTGTCCAAGGTACAAGAAATCGTCACCAAACTCCTCCAATGTCAACTCCTGATGGATGGCCAAAGGTGTGATGAACGGGTGATGTAGGAGTTGCGAGGAGCCGAATAAGAAGGGAAGAAACTGGTAGTCGTCCAGCCCCCAAACACCGTGTGAGCCGGCAGGCTCCAGGTAGTATGTCAACTGGACGTCTCGCATGAGTTCCAGGTACCGGTTGAAGACGTTCAGTACCAGAGGCTTGAAGTCGTCTCTTGTTAGGATTCGCAGCTGATAGAGGCAGAGGAGCCACATGATGAAGTTAAGCTCATGACCAGAGCCGTAGTCGATGCGCATCCTGTTTCCAAATGAATGCTCCAAGTAGACCGCTACCTCATCGTTCGCAGCGTCGGAGACGCCCAATCGTGTTTGCCATCCCGGTGTCTTCACCTTCACCAAGTCTAGGAACGTCCGGAAAGCCTTGTTACCAAAGCGCGAGCCGCCTTGATCGCTGGGGGGTGAATCCTTGACGAGGCCGTCGGCTTCGTCCAGAATATCGAGAATCGAGCGCACGGAAGGGCTGAGTTCGCTTTCTTTGATGGCGGAGCGCGGGGTGTTTTCAACGGCCTCGGAAAGGCCAAATACGAAGGCTAGGATCAGGCTGTAGGTTGGCGAAGAAAGGAACAGCTCATGGTCTCTTTGGGACAGAATCCGTCTCGAGGGTGTCGTGTACGCATGGGCGGGGAGATCGGGTGGTGATGGTAACGCAGGCGTCTCCGGGCGAGGGGTAGGGTTGGAGGGAGCTCCACGGCGGCGGCGAGGTTCGAGCTTGGGGATTTTGGTGCTTAGTGGGGATGCAGCCGGTGCGTCGGTACGAGATGACAGATTGATTGAAGCCATAGTGTCTCGGAAAGTTGCTAGCCCAGGGGTTTAAGACTCAAAATCGTGCGAGGAGAGGAAAAATATGGGTGGAGGAACGGAATCGACAAGCTCCAAGTCGAGCAACCCGCGCGTCCCTACCAATGGCCCAGGCGCCTGCGCGAAGTAGGTGCACGAATACCTACCTGCCTTACGTAGGTAGTGTAGGTATGCATTAATTAATCATGCAGTGCTGCGTCTACTGTAGACCCACCTTCTTGCTTTGTGCACCTACCTAATTACCTACCTAGCGTCCGTCATTGGAAAGGCTTGCCTTAGTCAACAAGTACGTACCCAGCTCTCACCTAGGGACTTCATCTCATTTTTTTTCTGAACCGAAGAGCAGAGCGTAGCATTTGGGCTTGAGGTTTTCCATCAGCCAGGCGTCCAGTCACTTTCGGCCGAAAGTATACGTGCACCAGAAACATCTGGAGAGGGCAGAGAGTTCATTTCGGCGCTTGGTCTCTTGACTGTTCTTTTTAGAAGATACCTCGAAACAAATCACGTCGCCTGCAACGCGCGTCACCCTTTGACGATGACCTCCAACAGCAACCCCCAGGCCCGGATATCACATCTTCCTCGAACAGATGGCTCAGCAACGTTTTCAAGGGGTGGTTATTGCGTGGTTGCGTCCGTAAATGGGCCGATGGAAGTGCAAAGACGAGATGAAAACCCTTTCGAGTCGGTCATTGATGTTGTCGTACGACCTGCTGCAGGGGTTGGAGGTCAGAATTACCCGTGTGTGGCTTCCTGTGGGTAACTATTTGCTGATACTCTCGATCAATATATAGGCACGGGAGAGCGCCAGCTTGAATCCATCTTACAGTCTGCCCTGCGACAGCTCATTCCTGTCAAGAACTTCCCTCGCTGCCTCATTCAGGTTACACTCCAGGTGACGGAAACGCCCCAGAACGACTATGTAAACAGCAAAGTTGTTCAAGCCAAGTCTGTAAGTCAACATTCGGGCAGGCATACGACACTGGCCGCCGCACACAAGATTCGTCTACTAATGCGTTGATCATGACAGAATCTGACTCTACTTCCGGCATTGCTTCACGGTGCTGTCTTGGGCTTGCTATCGGCTGCCGTGCCTTTAAAAGCGATCGCCACCTGCACTGCGGTAGCCGTTCTCAACAACGGCAACAAGATTGTCGTTGAGCCGTCGCCGTCGGAAGCAGATCAGGCAACATCACTCCATGCTCTGAGTTTCACGTCCCAGGATGATTTGCTTCTGGCAGAGAGTGAGGGATCATTCTCCCTGAGTGAGTGGGACAAGGTGGTGAGCACAGGTCAGCGCGCATGCGGCCAGCATTTCCAGGAGGATCAGGGTGCTGCGACGACGAGCGAGGACGGCCAGGCTTCGACAGACATGCGGCACTTTATTCGGACGGTGATGGAGTCGAGAGTGGCGTGATATCCCACTTGACCTCGAGGCGTAAACATGGACTTGGAACAAGCCGAGCGACTTGCGAGACACCAACGACGCTCTAAGATTTACGATAAGGAAATACTGGCGATCGGAACAAGTGAGGGCGGAAACGACACGATCCCAGCGGTTGCAGCGGCGGAAGCATGGAATTCTTGGCCAGGCGGAGCAGCACCTCCTATGCTTACGGGCCTGGCCGTCGAGGAGTCTGCATATGATATGACGGGCAGGGAGCGACAAATGAGACGACGGTTTATTGGCAAAATTTGGGGCAGTGGCTGGGGAGGTTCGACCGAGAGTAGTCACGGCAGCAGCTCCGAGACGACAAGCAGGGGCAATATCACTCGGCTGCTCACGCAAGGAATGCCATCATATGTCACTGTGGAGACGGAAAAGACGTGACAGGATGACAGGGCGTCAAGAAGCGAAGACTTGTATCGTGGAAGCGGAATCTGGAGCAGTGATTAAAACCATTGCTTCAGTGAGGCTGCAAGTCGCTAGACGGGGAGCGGGCCCAGGAGGAAGCACACAGTACACTGTGGTGGACGTGGGGGGATGCTGCATAAGGCGGTGTTTCAGCTGAATCTCAGGGACAGGAACATGAAGCGTGCAGGCACTGGGGCACGGAGGGGCTGCGACGTTGACAAGGCCTGAAGTCAGGAGTTGCCGGGCGTTTCCCGTCACCTCGGCGCTCTCCCGTCGGCTCAGGTTACGGAAACTGCAAACGGCTCCGCTGTCCCGGTTCCTCCTGGCAAACCCACCGGGTAGTGTCGCAGTCTTGACGCCCGCTCTATTAAGCGTACATAGGCTGTAGTTTCCATATCTTTTCTCACTTTGGGCGCCAACGCGAACCGGTTTCCTCGCTGTGAATTTGGGGGGTAGGGAAAAGCCCCAGTCCATCCACGTCTCGTTTGGCAAGTTGGCTGTGATATTACGGGTAGTCGTGCTTGAGTGTCTTGGCTCTTCTTTGCCAAGACGGGAGAATTCACGCTGGGTCCGGTATATCACCACAGATTGAGTGAATCTCCATGGATAGCCTCGGGAGTTTTCTTCTTCTTTTTAAGCATAATCGATCCAGAGGTAACTAGTTTACATTGGTAGGAGTGGCTACAAAAAGCTGTGCCATTGTGGCTGTTCGGTCGCTCCCAGCTTCCTTTCCCCCATCCTTTAGTACTCATTCGTCCGTTCTTGTTCCCTCTCCTTATCTCAAGCTGGTCTATGGGTGTTCCAGCGCTGTGGGACTTGGACAGAGACCTCTTACGTACCGCGGCCTCCGCGTCAAAGTTTTCGAGAGTTGGCGCTGCGGACCTGAAAGCCTCAGCAGCCAAGGTGGCCCCAATGGAATACGGATACTGCGTACCCATGGTACCTTAGGTAAGTTGCTGAGGTACCCCTCTAGGTAAGGCACCCAGGAGCAAAAAGTCTTTCCCCCGCCTGAGCCTCCCGTCTACTCGTACTTGCCTCAGTAGGGATTCCCAACAGTGAGTGACTGGATGCCCTGGGCAAAAGTGGGCGTCACTGTTTGATCCGCAACAAGTCCAAACCAAGCCCGACTCTTCTTTCGCCTCTGCGACGCTGACGACGACCGAGACAACCACCTCAGCCACAGAGAGATAACCTGGATGCCTGGCAACCTGTACCTAAGGCCAGTGTTTGCCCTCCTCCGTGATGGCCCGCCCTTCACTGACTTCTCCAATCTTGAGTGCTGCTTTACTTGTGTGCTCAAACATACCCCTTTCCGTATCCTCCCCCTTGGAAAGATCACACGCCACGTACCGTATAATACCTTGGCTAAGTCTCTGTAGCAAGGTTCCTGCCCAAGACAGCCTGGCCGTCGGTTCTCCTTAGATTTCCTACCTAGTCTCGTCGTCTTGTCACCCCACCCGAAGCTTGCAACCACACTGGCTAGCGGTGGCTCCTGTCCAGGTTGCCGGCAGCCGCCCCGCCGTGATCTTCTATACCAATGGAAGTTAACGCAACCATCAGTGTTTCCTTGCAAGAAGAACAGCCATTGCAATGTCACACTATCTCGGATGGCAGCAGAGATCATCGCTAGCATCGGCGGCGACGACGAGGACAATAGCAAAGCCACCGCTACCTCACCTAAGACCGGATTGTTCAAGAGTCTCTGGGTCTTTCATCCTTCCTCTCATGTCTCCTGTCTTCCATGTCATCGGCGGGCCTTTTGCCATGTCTCAGAAGTTCAGCAACTCCTAGACCGAGCAGCAGCAGAGAGTCAAGGCTCAATCGCTCGAAACACGACGGCACAATGCAGCCATAATCAGGGTGATCTACGCTATACCCAGACCTTGCCCTACAACGAGGAACACGACACAGATCAGCCAGCGGTCAATTCTACGAGCTGAAGGCCAGACCCGGCCACCGGTGGGTGTGTCGTGTATTCAAGCCCGGAGGATTGTAGACAAATACCAAGGTCCATCACATGACCATGCGCGTCGCTGTGGTCAAGTCCACTATCTAGGTGCACCAGGGATGCAAATTTGATGCGCATGTTGTAGGCCAAACAAGAGGCGCTGCAAAGCAAGCAGCATGGAACTGGGGCTTGGAGCCGTTGTTTTGTTGTCGTCATCGAGGGCGCTTGTCTCCAGCGTATCGTCCCCTGTGTTGTATCGTAGTTGTCACACTACGCTGTCGACTGCCTCACGACCAGTTCCAGCCGTCTGCGGGCGTGTTTGGCTGTTGCCATTGGTCGCGTCCAGCGCTAGCTGCCAATAAATGTGTGTCCATCACGTCCATCACGTCCATCGCGACGCCTGTCAACCTTGCCATCACTCTGTCACGATGCTATTCGTCTACGAGAAGGAAGTGAAAACGAAGGGACAGATTAGCTTCTTGATGGCTGGGTGCTTGCGCACGGATTGTCAGCGAGTCGTTGGCCTGTTTCTACCACCTACGGGTGTCTTCATGCTGGCGCCCCCCCTCTTCTTGTGATTGTGAAGTAGGTAAGGTAGGTAATAAGGTACGGATGCTGGGCGCGGTGAAGGAGTCTGTGACAGACCGATAATGTTGTACAGTATACAGCTAGCGGGCGGCGCATGTAGTGAGCTGAGCGGGTGCTCAAGACACTCCTGTCTCCCGTCGTCGCCTCCTCTGGATTTCTGCTACTGCAAGTCACTTCACCTCATCTTTTTCTGAGAGCGGTGCATCATCAACGGCCCTGCACCTGATAGGGATCTCCCTGGCCCGCTACGGGGGGCTGCTGTCTTCATGCCGCCCCCTGTCCATACGTTTGTAAGGCCAGGAGCGCTGCCCTGCAGCAAATGGCACTGAGGACGGAGAAAGCCTCCCCGGGGACGGCCTGGGCGGGGGCCGCCAGGAACGGGGGGATCCGTTTCGCCGTTTTAGCATCCGCCGCACCTTGTCCTCGAGGCTCCTAGCCCGCTTGCACATCTCTCACCCACCTTTGCATGCACTCGTGCGGGATTGTACCTTGTGGAACATGTTATAGAGATTAAGGTATGGAATTTGATGTGAGGTGAGGCGGACAAGGAGAGGCATGGCGCTTCGTGCGGGCTCTTGTTTGATGATAGAGACC